TGCTTAATACAACAGTTATGGCTTCCACCAATCTGGTCTTTAGTATTTTGAAAAATATTAAGAAACATTTTCTCAAGCCATGATATCTGTACTTTTCCCTATATATATTTGGAGTCAAACAATCTTTAAGCTGAGAAAGCTGTAATTGTGCTCCTGAGTTCTAGGCAATGAAAATGATGTTACAAAAACAAAGCACTTAATTAGTGTATACTAAGAATTGGTATAGTTTATTTCCTTTCTGAGATATGATCTTAGGAGGACCAGGCTGGTCTTAGACTTGCTATATAGCTGAGGAGTTTAAGGCCACTTGAACTCCTGAAACTCCTGCTTCCTCCTCCCAAGTTCTAGGATTACAAGTGTGCACTACCATACCTGGATGAATTATTGTATTTCTAGAACTTTAATCCCAAAGCCAAGGACTCTGCTGATTAATAGTGCCACATGCCCAAATCTTCATGTGGTACTGTAAACATAGCCAAATGCACGTGGTTGGAGAGCTCACAGATCTTAGTGAAAACTCCATGGCTGTTACATCCCTAGACAAATGTAATTTCTTACTATGTGTTAAATATGGGTCCTTATATTTACAGACAAGTATCCCAGTCACCACTCATCAAAGAAGCTTTTTTTGTAATGGATAGAGTTATTACAGAGTTCCACAATTGGTCCCACACAGATTGTGAACTGCCCAATATTCTGAGAATTTTTAATGTTCAGAAATACTTTTTTTCAGATTTTTGTATTTGGTTTTTCGAGTCTATGTGTCAAGCATAGTTATTTATATCAGCCTTATTTATTAAGATCTAGCTTAGTATTTTGTTTGCTATGAGAAGAAATCTGAAAAATAAGTTTAATGGACTCAGATACACTCTGCAGTGCACCAAGCTTTCAATAAACCCGATTTACAGGCTTGAGTTTCCATCCATTCAAGGTCTGATATTGAGTGATTTTATATTTCTATTGTTGAAAACATGTTGCCACTCTGGGGAAAAATTTGTCCACTTACGGTTAGTATGATTGGAGAGCATACTGGATCATAACTGGATTTAAAAATTTGGCTCTCAGAATGCTATAAATTTAAATTTTTATAGAATGAAAGGAGTTGAAATTCTAACCAAGAAGATGCCAGACATTTCTCTGTAGGGATATGAGTAATACCAGAATCCTGGGCTCTGATGTACTTTAGGATATATCTGATGATTCTTCCTCATCTAAGCCCAATGGATGGCTCCAACCACTCAGATAAATAAAGGTTCAGTTAATCCCAGATCACTTGGAATGGCACCAGATGCTTTTATCTTCAGTTGTGAAAGTAAACACACATCTAAAGGAACTAGCACTCAGCTGAAGTTAGAATCTCCTTTGCTACTTACCAGTTATTCCATCCTGAACAAGTCACATTTGTCTTAGTTTGAACTTTGCTCAATGTTCTCTAGAGTCCTTTTCTGAACTGAAAATGGGGTGATTTGTGTGATGTTTTATGAACTGAAAGAGTTCTAGAAAATAACCTATTGAGGCCTACTACCACAACTGTTTTTCAACAGTGAAAATCTTAGATCTTGTATTCCTGGAGTTGCTTTAAGCTGCTAAATTTGTCTTGAGTCATTTTGCAGCAACATAAAATGAATATAGTATTTTTGAGCATTATGTTGTCAGCATTGGGTACAATTGGCAGTGGGACACATTGATTAAATCTGAGTTTGACATTTTGGAGTGATTGGAAGATGCACTTTTGCTTTCGAACCAATGAACACAGGACTGCTTATTAAAAAAAACCTAGGACTAATATAGAAGGCTATCAAAGCATACTAGGAATATTTTCTTATTTTTAAAAACTATTTCAAGTAATAAATGAAATATTTTTAAAGTAATTCTTGGAAGGTACAAGAGGTCTGAAGTAATTTCCTATTCTAACTATAGGCAAAGAACATTAGAATTTGGGATTTGTTAAGCTTAGTGAATGGGTAGAAAGAGGGGTTTGGGTGAGCAGTGTGGTTTCACCCACCAGTGTTGAAGTCCAGTTGTTTGGGGTGTGATGGATAAAGTAAACAATGGCAGGAAATTAAAAACTCAAGAGATAGATGGTATTACATTTTGCTTTGTTCCAGGCTTTGAAATTTTATCTCAAGCTGCTCCTATTTCTTTCTGAAACTACTGTCACTCAGCTATTACATACAGGGAAAGTTGCTGACCTATTTAGGAAAGTGTCACCACGCTGCTTATGTGGCTGACATATGTTTTTATAGTGCAAAGCTGAAGTGTGAATTTTGTCATACAATTAGGATGAATAATTTATACCTCAAAAACAAAGAGCACTATCTCTTAGTAATTATTGTTTCTGAATATTTAAGTCTGTTAGAAATTTGATTATTTTTAGAATTTGTCTAATTTATGCATATATATGCAGATTAAATTTTAATATACATTATAATACTAAAGTTGTAGCATTATAATTGTATTATAGCAAATTCAATTTATATGTTGTAAATGCAATGTATTATATCTATATTCTAGTCATGACTGCTATGTGAGTATAACTCTTGAAAGACCCAGGGTCACCAAATATATCACAAGGAATGTGGAAATGCTAATTACGAATAGCTTAGAAATTTTAATTCTGTATCAATTTTGAGTGATTTATACAGTCCACCCTTTGCCATCACTCCACACGTGACAATTCCATGATTTTTTCCTATTTCTTTCATCATCTTAGGTGCCAGTAATTACTCCTTTTGAAAATGCTCCACTGGTTCCTCTGAGAAAGACAGCTAGGGCTGGAGTGATGGCTCAGCAGTTAGGATCACTGTCGGCTCTTTCAGAAGACCAGGGCTTCAGTTTCCAGCACCAACATGGTGGCTAAAAACTGTTCATAACTCTAGTTCTGATGCCTTCTTCAGGTACTACACACATGTGGTACACTTATATATGTACAAGTAAAACACTCATACCTGTAAAAAAATAAGAAGGTACCATAACTCTAGTTCTGATGCCTTCTTCAGGTACTACACACATGTGGTACTTATATATGTACAAGTAAAACACTCATACCTGTAAAAAAATAAGAAGGTAGACAATTTGGGGTGCTGTAGGCTATACTCTGTCCGCTTTACTCCTGACTGCATCCTCTTCTCTCCTGCCTAGGCACAGTTATTCAGGAAAGCAGCACTGTAACCAGGCCTGTGAAAGAGTCTGAAAAGCAGTGGTGAAAAACAGCTTTAGCATCTCATCTCAAGAGTCTGTGTGACAGTCAGAGTTGTGAAGGAAAAGAATCTCAAGGACAAAGACCAGGTTGAGTGCCCACAAAGACTCTGGGCATCCCTTCAGGAAGAGTACTGACGGCTCTGAAACATCATGCCTTTTCTAGATGTGAATTTACAAGCTACTTGTGGACTTTCAGTGTTTCTGACATCGTTAAACAGGTTACCTCATCAATATTGAGCAGGGGTCAAGGTAAAAGTCATCATTAGAGATGTCAATTGTTTTAATGAATTATCAGTTATTAAAAGGAAACTGCTGCATTCATTGTATCAGTACGGATACCCCCTCTTTCTTTCTCCACCCATACAGAGCTAAACCTTATTTTTGCGCCATGTGGAAATGACTTGCATACCTACGGTATTGCCCCCAGTACTTAAAAGTGTGTTTTCTAAGTAACGTTATTGCATCTAGCAATAGTGCAGTTATCAATATCTTTTTATTTTTTATGTGTGTGAATGTGTATATGTGTATGCATATTTGTGTGTGTGGTTGTATGAGCACGTGTGTGCATGACTGTGAAGGCTACAAAAAAACACCTCAGGTGCCAATCACTTCGTTTCTTTTTGAGACAGTGTCTTTCACTGGCTTGGATTCAGTAAATAGGCAAGGGTGGCTGGCCGGCAAGCCCAGAGATCTTCCTGTTTCCTCCTTCCTAGCACTGGGATTATAAGTACATGCCACCATGCCCAGCTACATGCATACAATGTATTGTGATCATGTTCCACATCAATTACCCTCTCTTATCCTCTTCTTACCCTATTTAGAAAGTCCTTACCTATATCTATTTCTTATAGAGTATTCCCTACTTTTTCCTCTAACAGTTTGAGCCTTTACATTGAGACTTTTGATCCATTTAGAGTTGATTTTTGTGCAAGATAAGAGATAAAGATCTGGTTTCATTCTTCTACACATGGATATTCAGTTTTGCTAGCACCATTTGTTGAAGATGTTGTTTTTTTCTCCAGTATGTATTTTTGGCATCTTTGTTAAAAATCAGGTGGCTATAGTTGCATGGACTTATATCTGAGTCCTCTATTCTATTACATTGATATATGTCTCTGTTTTTGTGCCAGGACCATGTTCTTTTTGTTAGTATGACTCCCTAGTATAATGTGAAATCAGATATGGTGATACAACCAACTTTATTTTTTCTCAGGGTTGCTTTGCCTCCCCTGGAGTCTTTTGCACTCCTTGTGAATTTTAAGATTTTTTTTTTCTATTTCTGTGAAGAATAGCACTAGAATTTTGATTGATTGGGATTCACGCCCAGCTTTTTAAATGATATTAATTTTTTAATGCATATGAGTGTATTGCCTGCATGTGTGTAAGTGCACTCATGTCATGCAATGCCCACAATGTCAGAAGAGGGCATTGGATCCCCTGGAACTGGAATTATGGATGGTTGTAAGCCACCATGTGGGTGCTGAGAACTGAACCTGGGTCCTCTGGAAGAGGAGTCAATGTTGTAACTGGTGAGTTATCTCTCCAGCCCAGAAGTTCACTTATTAGTTGTACATATTTATGGGGCTCAGCACGATGATTCATCACATGGGAACATTGTGTAATATTCACATTGGAGTGATTTACACCCCTTGTGATATACATCCATTGTTTCTTTGTTTTGGAAGTGTTCAAGCCCCTCTTCTGTTTGTTTGCGGCTATAGTATAAAAACCAGTCATGGTTCTGGGCTGTAGAGCACTGAACGTACTCTTGCTCTCACTGGACTTGGGGTCCCCTTGTCCCACCCTCTCCCTTTGGAGACCTGACCATTTCTCTCTGCTCTTCCAGATGGCCTTCAGCAAGATGAGGCTGCTGTATGCTTTCGTTCTGGTGGTGGGGGCGCTCTGCTTGTACCTCAACATGGCCCCTTATAAAGAACTGCCATTCGTTTTCAAGAGAAGTGCTGGGAAGTTCCTTCAGCTTCCTGATGTAGACTGCAGGCAGAACCCACCCTTCCTCGTCCTGCTGGTGACTTCCTCCCACAAGCAGCTGGCAGCTCGCATGGCCATCCGCAAGACGTGGGGTAGAGACAGGACGGTGCGAGGGCAGCAGGTGAGGACCCTCTTCCTCCTGGGTGCCTCAGACAGCACGGATGAGATGGCCACCACGGCCCAGGAGAGCCAGGAGCACCGAGACATCATCCAGAAGGACTTCAAGGACGTCTACTTCAACTTGACCCTGAAGACCATGATGGGCATGGAGTGGGGCTCCAGAAAGGACTCCACCTCTGTTTTTCACAACTTGGCGAGACCGTCTCCATCCCTTGGTTCACAACCTGCCACAGTTGTGACTTCTGCTTCCCTTGTAGCTTCCTCCTCCCTCTTAAAAGTCCTGATCTTGTCCTTCCCTCTCCAGAAAGGACTCCACCTCTGTTTTTCACAACTTGGCAAGACCGTCTCCATCCCTTGGTTCACAACCTGCCACAGTTGTGACTTCTGTTTCCCTTGTAGCTTCCTCCTCCCTCTTAAAAGTCCTGATCTTGTCCTTCCCTTACAAAGACCATACGAAAATACATTTGCTCCATTCCTCAGTTCATTATAGCATCAAATCAGAATCTAAGTTTCTGGGTATGATCCATTTTGGAGCAAAATTTCCCTTGATTTTCGGACTTCTGGAACTAGGAAACATAAAAGCTCGTGTGTTGGGGTGTGTGTAGATGGGGAGTGGGGGGTCTAAATTTGATTAAAATATATTATATGAAATGTACAAAAACTCAATAAAATATACATAAAAATAAAGAAAAAATAAAAAATTAAGTCTATAAAAGCTATCTGCATCTATAATATGTATCATCGCTATGGTATTATAGGCATAGTGTAAAATTATAGATACGTTTATTCAAACAGACAGAAATAGAAAGAAGGAATGAATTCCTATGCACAGAAACACTAATATGTGTCCAGGCAAATGACGCTCACTCTCTGGGTCTGGGGTCACCCTCTGTGGCTCATGACTCCAGTCTAGGGCTCATGGCTTTGCTCATGGAGTCACTATTCATGAAGCGCCCATAGGCTTCCCACTGAACAGTTCTATTGACCTGTCCTAGCCATTGAATGATGGTAATTCTCTGGTCTTCTTTCTTGTTGTTCTCTTTCTGCCCCTCTCCATGCCAACTGGCAATATTTCTTTTAGTGTTATGTACTAAAGAACACTGTGCATCTCCTGGGGATGTCTTGGGATTTTCTCTGTCAGACAAGAGATTCTGCTCAGATCTTTCTTTAGCAATCCCATCTCTGCATTTAGCTTTTGCTTAGACAGCTGAGTGATCATAAACAA